TCTGCAGTGGTTTACCGCAGGTCTTTACGGAGACGCCTGTGGCCTAATAGGCCACTGCGATGGCTGAGTGTGCGAGGGCACTGCGGCCAGCTGAGGTGATGACGACGGGTGTATGTTGGCGCTGCGGGCACCGGTTCGCTAGCTCCTGAACGACGGATTCGCCAGCAACCAGTCGAGCTGACTCGCGATACGTATGTGCGGTGGCAATATAGGCAGGGTGGGTTAGGAGCTGAACACTCGGCTGTGATGTTGCTGCTAGTGGTGTCCGCTCCGGTGGAGGTGGGTTGGTAGGGCTGAGATTGAAGAGTAGTCGGGTATGCAAAGTGTGCTTGGTGTGCCGATAGTGCGGTGAGTTTGGCCGTCGTGGATACACATGTAGCAGAACAGGCCCATGCAGTGCATGAGCAGTGTGGACAGTGAAGGCGGATGCAGTGAGTGTATGTATGTCGGGGCCTCTGGCACTGGTTCATCCGTCTCGGTGCGATGGATTCGCAAGTGGACGATCGGGATGATGTGTTCGATCAGGATAAAGAGAGGTTGGAATTTAACCCCATTGCTGATTATGGGGGTATTGGTAGTGAGGGCAGTAGTCGACGGGGTTCGGGGGTGTTCTCATCGGGGGCAGTAGTGGGAAAAGTTTTAGTCGTCTTTGTCGCGGGAGACTGCAGCAGGGATGATGTGGGTGGCGCTTATCGACGGCCGCGGGCATCAGGAGTGTAATACCGGTGGTGGGGCTGGTCGTCGTCGACACCCTGGGGGTTGGTGCAGGCGTGACGATGAGAGTATTTGTAGAGGCAGCAGGTGGGGATGTTAGATTGTTGTTGCACAGTGTCCGGAGGTGTCCGATGAGGTCGATCTGTGCGCTGAGGGTTCATCGAGAGCGGGACCGTTTGAGAGGGCTTAGGTGTTGACGTTGTGGATCGCAGGCGCTCGAGACATGCAAGTTGCTATTTTGGCTTTGGCAGCAGCAATCGTGTTATCCTTATAGATTGCTGCTTCAGTCTTAAGTGCTTTTCTTCAGGTTGGTCGGTCCAGGAAGAGGTCATCCCGGAATTCCAAGTTGAATTATGGGCCCTTGAGAGAGTCGTTCGGGTGTCTTTGTGTCCTCCTTGTCGGCGAGCAACCGTAAGGACACATCCGTAGAAGAGTCGCTTTGGGAATCGCTTGTCATCCATCAGCACGAGACTAACGCTCCATTACGATTGTATTCGCCCCAGCATGGAATGGATGCTGACGATTCGGGTGGATTCCAAGACCTCAGTGTCAGAGATCCTATCCTATAACCTCGGCTCATGGTAACCGAATCGCTGCATTATATTCCTGAGCCCATTGCGATTCACTGTGTTGAAGGGTATTTTCAGGTCCATGAAGGTAGTACAGAGGTTGGTACGCATTTCCTGCCACTTCTCTTGCAGTTGCCGTGCCGCGAAGCTCATATCGGCGGTTCCGCAGTGTTGTTGAAAGCCACTTTCCGGAAGGAATTTGTTTCAGATGGTCGTTAAGAACACTGAGAAGGATGCGAACGAAGATCCTCCCGGAAATGGTTATCAGCGGGATTCCTCTGTGATTGTCATGATGTTGCAGGCTCCCTTTCAGATTGTAGAGACGGATGATTGTTGCATTCCTAAAATACTGAAAAACTTTTTCTTGGTGTCACATCTCCTAGAACATCATTGTAAGTTTGTCATAATCCTGAGGCCTCTATACTTGTAGACTCGAGCCGCAACTGCGTCCGACCCCAGTGCTTTCCCGCTAGTGATCCGTTTCACGGATATGACTGTTTCTGGAAAGGAAGGTAGACGATCCATGTCGGTATTAGTTTCCACTTGGGGCAACCAACGAAAGGTGGCGCCAGAGATTGTGGATAGCGGCAGAGGACGCGTCTGAACTGCCCGGCCCGGCATTTCAGAATTTGAAATTTTTCTGTCCGAATTGTTGTTCCACCTGACCTGAGCAGTGGTATGGTCTCTTTAGTACGGGGCTTTAGATTACCTCGATGGAGACGAAGGGGTGGTTTACTGCCAATAGAAGAGAACAGGCGAACTCCATGACAGTTCAGAAGAAGAAAATGCGATCACTGGGACAAGAAGTTTATTGGCATGACGTTTTGGATTCTCACTCGAATCCATCACCAGAGACGGTTGCAGATAAAGGCGGTGGAGGCACAAAGACTGCAATGTTTATAAGACGTAGCTGCCGTGGGGCCACATGCGTACTATAAGTAACAGCGCTCGTGATCACCGCTGAGGGTCGTAAGTAAGGCAATGATGGCTCGTCAGTCCGCTTCCGAGTTGTTAATTGCCGCAATTTCATCCTCCGTGTTGGATGTTGACGTGATGATTACTCGGCAATTCGGCCCGCTGGGATGCCCGCGCCCATCCTACGTGAGTGATCCCCCTGCTCCAAGAATGTCTCAGCACTGAATATGGTGCCGGAGGGCAATAGTGCTTGTTGGTGGATTGCGAGCCTGAGAATCATGATGCGAGCAGCTCGCGGCTCACGTGGTTGTCAGCTCTTGTGAGGATTTCGGCCTCTTGAAACTTGAAAATGCGGTCGGGTTCCGTAGAACGAGCTGCTACCTGAGGGTTGGCGCCTTTCCTCCTCACCGCCGCTGCGTGCTTAGCAATGCGCATCCGGAGTAAACTCCCAATTTCTCCGACGTAGTTGCTCTGTCCGCAACTGCATCAGATCAGGTAAACGACTCTAGACGTTTCCTGCCGTGGCAGCGGGTCTTTCGGCCTCATGACTTGGTGCCTGATGTTTGCTTCCGGCCCGTGTGAAACCCCAACTCCAAGTGGAGTGAGTAGACGACTGACGGCTTCCGAGACTTTCCTCACGTATGGAAGCGCTCGCCAAAATTTAGGGCCGGTTAGATTTGGTTTCTGGTTTCGTCTACGTATGCACTGGTTGACAGAGTTGTGCGGGTAGCCAGTGACTCTCAGTACCCGTCGAAGATATTGGAATTCAGCAACCTTGTCTTACGTTTCACTGCAGTGCGTCTCAACGCGCCAGTATAGCGCCCTTACGTAATTGTGTTTGTGACTGATCAGATGGGTACTGTTGACATTCAGTACTTGCATGATGTTTGTCACTTTCCTGAACACTTTTTTTAGACCACAACAATCTTGGCGGCAAACGAGACATCCACAAAGGCCAGCTGGTTCTCCTCTTCATCCTTCACCGTAAATTGAATCAACACATCCCTCTTTTTAATAAATCGGACTTGCCTCAGGCTATCGCGACGCGCTAAAATTCTTGGCTTTGGAGGTTGTCCACCGACAGGATAATTCGACCCTCAAAAGAGTGTTTATAGTACCTCGAAGACTGAGAGCCAAGCTATAATGGCCCCTTCTTAATGTGACCTCAACGGCATTGTCAGGCATGTGAGATTGGGGCCGTTCACTGAAAATAATGTACATACTGTGAATTCGAGGTCAAGGGGCGATCAACCGTCGTGATGAATCGAGAAGACTATAATGAAAAATCTAAAGCCCTTCTTGATGACAGAGTATTTTACAGATCAGCACATAACCCACAAGCCACAGCTGTGGCAGATCGGCTGAGTAAACTGCTTGGAGAATACCGACATAAAAACGTGATCACGGAGAACGAATGGCCCCAAATGAAGGCAACTGACACTGCTCTAGCTAGATTCTATGGCCTGCCGAAAATCCATGAAGTAATTGTCTTACTGCGGCCAATCGTTGTTCTAAAAGGCAACCATACCTATAATTTGGCAAAGTGGATGTACTCAAAACTGAAGTTCCTCCAAGGTGATTCGACTACTTCAGTCCGATCAGTCTCTCAATTCCTCATAGACCTCCGAGGTTGGAGGGTTCAATCGGGTGAGATCATGTTCTCCTTCGACGTGACGTCGTTATTCACATCCATCCTACCAAACTTGGTCTGCAAGGTCTTGCGCCACAGACTTGAAGAGGCATACGACGAGACTCAGAATACACTCAAAATGGAACACATCATGAGGCTGTTTGAATTCTGCCAACAAACTTTCTTAACCTTTGCTGGAGAGATCTATGAATAAATCAAGGGAACTCCAACGGGCTCACCGGTCTCCGGTTTATTGGCAGAACTGGTCCCACAGGAGTTAGAAAAGATTGCCTTCATCCAACGTGAGCCGGTATTTTGGCGCCGTTACATAGACGGCACGTTTGTCATCGTAAAGAAGGACATGCTGCAACATTTCCACAGTCTGCTCAACACAGTCTTCCCTGATATAAAATTTACGAAGCAGAACAGGCACAGCAGTTGCCTGGGATGTGCTCGTCAGACGAAACCTTAACGGTGAACCTGAAACGACGGTTTATAAGAAGGCAACGAACACCACGCAGCTTCTGAGTTTTCAAAGCAACCATCCGGTGGCTCACAAACGAAGCTGTGTGAAGACGCTCTTCAAACGAATTCAAACTCATTACAGCAAACCGGAGGACAGAGCACGTGAGACCCGTTATCTCCGCGACCAGTTTGTGCAAAACGGCTATCCGAGGACATTCATAAGTCGCTGCCTACCTGTTCGCCCCCAGAGGACTCAAACATCAACACCACCGACGATATGGCATTCTCTGCCATATGTCAAGGGTGTTTCAGAAGCGACAGAGCGCATTGCTGCGGAGCTAGGTGTTGGAATTGCACACCGTCCCAAAGCCACCATGCGCAATAGGGTCATGAAAATTAAATACCGGTTAAAGCCTGAAGAACAATCTGGAGTAGTGTATCGCATCCCTTGTCAAAACTGTCATTGTAAGTACACGGGCCAGACTGGACGCATGCTCGGATCGCGCATACACGAACATAAGCTGGCTGTGCGACGAGGCGACGCAGTATCACAAATGGCCGCCCACACCTACGAAATGGATCACGAGTTTAACTTCGCAGCCACCAAAATAGTCGCCAACGCCGGACACAAAACAGGCCGAGCATTGATTGAAGCCTGAGCCTCGGATGAGAACTCAGTCACGCGATTTATCGATCTGGCGCCGGCGTACAGAGGCCTGCACAGCCACCTCCAGTCTTGCACCGCCGGTCGATGATTGGCCTACACGCCCTATAACTGTCGCTTGTTCTGTTGCTGCTACTACCTCTGACGATGGACTCCTGCACGAGTCTGAAAGTTCAGGACAGTAAACAAAGTGTTCCGGTGCTCGACCCTACTGCACTTATGCATACACCTTGAACTCGAAACTTCGCCTTCAGACGAGGTCATGTGCGGCACACGCGGATGAACTGTTTGTCAACCACTACGCCCGAGCCCACTTCTAGTCGTCTTGGCATTGTCTTGCTAGCTGAGCATGGTGAGTAATCGAGAAGCCAGTGCGGTAGATGTGGCGTAAGTATGCCTCGCTGCAATAAGTCACGCGTAAGTCATCAGCTCTGCGCCCACTCCCTAGGGCACACGGTGGTCGACATCGCCAAGCGACCGCTTTATTGGTTTGCCACTACCTGATATGAAAACGTCTCCCACGGTGAAATCACTCAAGACCAACGGTTATCGCTGCGCACGACCCGCCTTAATGATATCGCATGACTCATTCACGCCCGAACCCAGCGATCATTTGCACTCAGTAGGCACGCTGGCACACGTGGGTCGTTCGTCCCTACAGCAGGGGCGATGCATGAGGCACTTCAGATCTTGAAGGTGTGTAGTTGAAATCGTAACGCGAAGCGTCAGATAACAGATTTGAATTCCGGGGCTTATCTTTTTATCGTATTCGCGAAAACTGGCAGAAACCTGTCAGAGTAAGGATATTTCAATGGTGCTCTGCTGCGATGCGCACAATTCAGCCTATATACAGCAGCGTAAATCAGTTCGTAATGACTTTGACAAATTCACTAGAATAGAGAGGTCGTTGATGGTTTTTTTTAATGGCAGAAAATATCAACTTCTTTACTGATAGTCTGATCCAGTACAGTGCATCGCAATATATCTACATTGTTAATTCCATCTTATTTCATTCGGCGCTGCCTGCTAAATCACGTAGGCAGACTCTGAGAAACACAAAGGCCACTGCCACAAAAGGTTACCACGCATGCTGAGATCGAAAAACAGGCCTTACTAGGCTTCGTATGGGTGCAATACTCATATGCTGTCTCAAAAGTCTGCATGAGGAGTAATTATTCGCTGGAACTTGTAAGACTGCATGACGAAATGGAGGGTAAACCCCTCTTTCCAACAGCTTACAGAGCAATTCATTGTGTCTTGGTGACTTGGAAAATGGTCAACCAAACGAACTACATCAGCCTAGCGTCATACTTCCTGCGAAGATCTCGCATACCTTTTTGACAAATCCTACTCCATCTGGAGGAAGTAGCGCAGTTACTTGCGGAAATCTTGTTCAAATTAGAGATACCATGGTCGACTAAAAATCATCTAAGCAAAGCTAATCAACGGCATCCCCAGACCAAAAAATAGTTGAAAATAACTGCGCCAACACAACGACACGCCGGCTTGCCTAGGTAACTGAGACCAGCACTAGCCAAGCCGGGCAGTTCGTCAATGTTACTCTACGAAGACTATCGCCATCTGCAGAGACGGCCATGATTTGAATTAAGGCAAAAAAAACTCTTGCGGCACTTAAATCACCATCCTCCCCAATAGCCTTCACGCTCAAATGACAACTTAAGACCAAAATGACGAAAGATGGCAGCGGACGCGTTACTCGGCCCAGCATAAATCTCACAAAACGCGTGCCGCATACCTGCTGATCTCTTATTCCATATGAGTCATGACTTTTTACTCGCAGTGATAGCCCAGAGACGCGTCAACTTTATTTTGGCGCAGTAAGATCGTCTAGCATGAGCCTCAGTCCTCCCTCCCCTCACCTCCTGCAGCAGATAAAGCTGGCAAACGGAGGTTTCTGCGCTGGATTTTGCGTGCGAAGTTGACCTTTGCGCGCACGAATATCATGCTTCTTTAAAGCGGGGGTTGTAGTATTGTGTGGAATGTCACTTACTTGATCTATTGCTGCTTGACCGATCAGGTGAGGACACATCGCAAAGGCCTTTGCAGATCCGCAGTTCATAAAGAATACATGCCAAGTAGGTCTGGTATACAAAGATATTGTACAAATAATTCGCCATTTGAAGTACAAAATGGAAGTTGTCCTTGAGAAAGGGACATGCATTTATGCCAAAAAATTGACCGCTCCAACGAGTGAATGAGTAAATGACGTAAAAAAAAGGATGCAGAAACTCTGCTCCAGGAAATCTGGACAATGCTCAAAATCCAACTTTGGTAAACGGATGAAAAAAGGCACCGAGGGCCGAATTCAGGCTTTTTACCGTACCTGCAGGTGATTACACCCGCGACGTCGAATGTAAGAATTACTCTGCGCAATTTCTTGTGAACGATTTCTCTGTTGTTCCTTCTCATTTGCACCCGGGAAGGCATAGAAAGCAGGATAGAGGTGGAAGAAGCGGAGCCTGGGTAGGGCGACCGCCAGGTGCAGGAGAACACGGCCGACCTCTTCGGTGGGTGGAACGAAATTCTGTAGGCACAGCACCCTCAGAGTACAATTAGATGAGACACATTCAACATCCGAGTCGTCGGACGAAAGCGAACTTGTCGTTATTTCGACTGGGATGATATCCTTATTGGGGAAAACGACGAAAAGAATTTGCTGGTGAAGTTACGCTGCGCAGGGAAGATGTAGTACATATTGTATACCTGAAATTCTGCCAGGCATCTGGCATTTGAAATAAATTTTGTCTCTTAACTTCTACCACACATGTATATTCTGAAGGTATTTTAATTTTATTTTCATTGTCCTTTTATCAAGGATACTCTTCCTTGTGTGTGCATCTAACCGCCTTTAGCAGTAAAGGCGTGGAAGACTAGGTTTCGTAATCGGAGCTGTCGAACGCATTCGGACATTCGAAATTAGTTGCTATGGTAAATATGACTACGATCGACTTAATCTGATACGATGCAACCCACCGGGCTATGAACAGACGGAAAGCAGAAGAGGTGTCTCTAGTTTCTAAATTAAAAGTCGATTTCCCTGTTTTGGACCAGAGATTACTCCCTTCGATTGCAGGGTGACATGATTCACGGTATCATTATTCTTTTGACTGCTGTCGTTTTAATGAACTATCGGGAGAACTGTCAACAAGAACAATGAAAAAAGGACTGACATCTAGGCATATTCGATGTGACCGGCTAACCAAAACTGGGAACCTGATAGTTTCATACATCTATCTTCTCATGCGTTTCCTCACGCTTTTGTGAATAGAAATATTCTGATGTCCATGCCATGAGTTGGCGATATTCCTCCATCGTTTCCTCGAGGCATACTATAATTTTGGGCCTTTGTGAAGGCAAAGAGTTATGCTCTCCCAGCATGATTCTAACTGAGAACTATCGAGAGTCCAGCAGGGTGCAAAAGAGTGCTCCGCAACAGTTTTCATTCTGCCGAGTTTTGTGTCTTATTGTAGTTAATTGTTTTTTTTGATATTCATTTGAATCTCCTTACATGTTTGATGTGCTTTGGGCTACTGTTTTTTAGCTTTTTAAGGCGTCGTTGATAAGGTTCTACACTATGACACGTAGACTGAAGTAGACAGGTCTGGTCCTAAGAGACTGAATAATTGTGACAGTGGGTGAGCTATTCATAAATCAGATACATTTACGTTCCACTTGTCCTTTATAAGCAGTATTAATTATTGCTATCCAGGCTTCTTCTGTTAACTATTGGCAGTAAATCAATGCTTTTCGAAGATAAGTAATGAGAGGTTATAAATTCTGGAGAAAGCCAAAACCGTTTAAGAAATAGAACTCCTTAATTTCGGTGCATTAGCCTTCAGAAATAAAAACTGGGTAAGTGTCAGTTATGCTATCCTGGTCCCAAGTAAAAGCGTAATGTGGGCATTGAAAGTAAAGTAAGTGGAAGGGGGATGCTGAAATCGTTAGTGGGAAAATAGCCGAGAGTGAAATGGAAAAAGGTAATCTGATAAACGACAAATCTGTCGCAAGCTGAAGGCAGCCCAGAATCCCACCAAAAGACCTGACTGACAGGACACGCCGGACAGCAATACACCAAACCTAACGATAAACCTAAACATAACCTGAAAACTAAACCTAATCCTTAGCTTAATCATAAACTTAACGCTAACCATAAACTAAACACTAAACCTAACCCCAAACCTACCACAAACTCTAACCCTAACCCTAACATTAACCATAACCCTACTCTAACCCCAATCCCAACCTCAACACTAAACGTAAACCCAAACCGCAATCCAAACCCTAACTCTGACCGGGACCCTTAAACTTAGCGCAAACCCTAACCCTATACTCAATTCTCAGCCTGACACTAACCCAGACCATATTTCCAACCCGAGACATCAGGTTGTCCTTTCCCGTTTTTAGCCTTGGCTACTTTGCTACTAACGATTTCAGCGCCCTCCATCGGCTTGCTTTGCTAGCAATGCCCACATTGCGCCCACACTTGGGACCAGGACAGCGCAACCGACCTCTATAAAAAACCTTAATTAAAGAAAAGTGGAAACAAGCCGGAACTTTCGAGAAGACTGAAGTGTGGTTTAGATATGAACTTAACAAGTTAATTTGTAAGGCTACACAATATTCAACATAGTTTACGTCAATCCGGAATGAGCGCCCACCAAACGATTGGCTGCCCGAAGCAAGCAAATTCCGTATAGGTTGCAAAGGTTACGAACGAAAAACCAACTAGCAGGTCGAAGTCGGGCAAGTTGGAATAGCAGGGGGAAGGAACCACAGAGAATGGGGGTTGACTGATGCAGTACTGTTTTGGGTTTATTCTGCCTTCCTTCAGTCAGTCATAAACCTGACCAATAATTGGGACCAAAAACAAACACGCGCTCGTACATGATGCAGATAATCTACAGACGAGGTCTGGCAGATGGATCATAGGCACTTAATCGGACTGAATTTCCTCAGTGTCCCGCTACCTGCCATTCCCCGTCGCTCCGTCTGTGAATCATCTGCGCCGTGTACGAGCACATGTTCGTGTTTTTGGTCCCAGCTGGTGGTCAGGTTTATGATTGACTGGATGAAGGTAGAATAAGTCAGGAACAGTACTGCATCAATGCACCCGCATTCTCTGTCGTTTCTCTTCTCGACAGTTAACACCGCTGAACGCCCTGCAAATTTCGTCGTGAAACCACAGAGTGCCTCGGGGTATTTGGATGAGACGTTGACACTGCAAAAATAATTTTTCTGCTGAGATGGTTAAAGGACGACAAAAGGGTTTGTGCCTACTGGTAATGTAGAATAGCATTACCGACAAGGAGACTAGAATGGTCATTTATGGCTTGTCGGCCGTCGCCAGCCAAGCATACTCAACCCCGAGGTATGGAACACCTGGGACTCGATCCAGCGACCTGTTGGTTAGAAGTCAAACGTCCCTAACTATTGAGCCACGGGTTCATTGTCCTGTCGGTTAGACCTCTAGCCAAAAGGTCGCAGGATCGAGCCCCAGGTGTTCTACACTTCGGGGTTGAGTATGGCTGGCTGACGACGGCTCACAAGTCATAAACGGCCATTCCATTGCCGATACAAGCGAAGATGCGAGTTCCAGCAACTACTGCGACTTCCTGTACACTAGCCACCCCTTTCTGCAACTGTCTCTGATGATGGATTCAAGAGAGAATCCGAAACGTCAGGCGAATAAAGCCATTGTTCCAGCGGTCGCTTCTTCTTCTGGCCATTCCATTCTCCATTGTCTTTGTCAGTAATTTCTGCCCATGTTACGCGCCGCTGTGCGGCTGCCGGTTGGCATCGAGAGAGAGCCCTAAGGCACCATACAGATTATGTGGTATGCTCGAGGTTTAGTTGGTATAGACGCCTGCTTGTCATGCCTGAAGTTCAAATATGAAGACGCAGGATGCCCTCATATAATAGGTTCAAGAAAGTTATTATCAAAATTAAAAGCAATCAAACCGAAAAAGGGTATGTTCTTGTTTAACCATCTTCGGGCCTATTGATTTAGTAGAGCCAAATTCGGAAACAAAGAGCTGTTCTGTAAAATTCCATTTTGGGGGAACGCAGTGAATGAATCCTCCATTCGCTATTCGAATTCGAGATATACAGCTTGCGTACACTGTGGTTCTCCCTATTAGCCCACTTCTCCCCGAAGGTAAGGGAAGGCTGTCATCCCAACCTCATCCGTGTGCATCTGCTCACTTACTTCCTCCTGTTAAACAGGCTATATGAGTCGAAGGATAAAGCGTCTGTATAAAGGGATGCATGATGATTGCCCGATATGGATTGGTCCGGACGCGATCAAGTTAATCTCAAACACTATCATCGCCCATCCTGTGCCTAGTGGCCATCCAGCAGACGTTAAAAACATTTGTGTTTACTTAACAAGGTACCAGCAGACTGATTAAAGCTGTTGAGGCATCGCCAACCCGCGATGGCGATCACCATGTTTCTACAAAATCCTGTACGTTACGTGCAAAAATTTCTGTCCGGACCTTGAGCCTGTCGACGCCGAATCCTGTCCCCTATGCCCTTGATCCTTACAGTGAGTCTGCCAATATGACCTCACCTGATCGCCTCCCGACCCCGGAGTTTCACGACGTTTAAACGGCGCCCCCTCTACGTCTCCGATCATCCAGTTGTGGGAAGACGTGTTCAGCTGAACTTATATCATCTGAAATTGTTGTCGAATCCGATCTTTATTCTAAAGGTTTTTTATCATGGTCCAGTTAAGTCATAATTCAAAAAGGCTATCCATTTCGAGCCTACATCGCCATTAAAGTCGGGTAAGCAAACAGAGGAAACTGACCCTCGGTTTGATTTCTCGCGTCAGGATTTTCAGTATCCAGGTCAGCTGGTCGAAAGACATGCAGGTGTATGCCAAGGAAAGGCAGGCCAGCCGGCCTGTTTGACTGAAGCATGTCCGCCAGAAGAGCTGCGCCATTGTGATTTGGGGTACGCTAGCCAGATTATTACGGGCGATGTTCAGCTCATACAGACACGGAAGCGGTCGCCAGTTGAACACCAGATATTCGATATCATCGGCCGTGAGGCTGCAATCCTAAAAGTGTAAAATGACAAAAATTAGATATATGTATTTGGCATAGTTTCTATCCATAATGAGCCTCCTTCATTTTTCGGAGAACAATCGGTATGTTGGTGATCAAGTTTAGAATTCAATGCCGGAAGAGGAGTGCGGTTGTAATTACTGGCAGCCAAGATAAGGAATTTTGGGCAAAACTGTCTCTGAATGTTAGGGCTCATCACCATACGTGAGAGGGCGCACTGAAGTCTTACGCGAGTATTTGTTTATAGCGAAACAAACTGCAGCCATATCCACTTTACTCTTTCCAGTGAACGAAAGTAAACGAGAACGTTTGCATCGGCTGAGTGAGAATGTCCTATAGACCACTCTAAGTAGGGACCATTGCAACCTGACTTGTGTGAAAAGTAGGGACACGTTGCTCTATCATGAAAACCGTGACTGTTTGCGAACCATGATAAGTTAAAATCATATCTGATTTTCCATTGCGATAAATTGTACCTGGAAGGATGCCTCTGCACCGACCTAACTCGCACATGTCTAAGTCTAAAATGTCCTTTTATGAGCGTTACCAGGCAGTAGAAAATCGTCAATAGCACGGCGAATCAGAACATTTGGATATGGGATGGTGTATTTTTTATTGTCAAGTTGAATAACTCGGCTTCCTTTCCCATCAGTCTTCGCGAGTTTCAACACAACTCGATCACCAAGTTCTCGACGGAGCTCTATGGAGAAGAAAATAAAATTCACCACGTTAGCCTACCAATTGACAGACAAGTGATTTCACAAGCGCAGAAGGAATTTGACCTGAAAAGGGAACTGTCAATCAAGTCTTTTCCGCCAATAACAACCCTGGATCACAAATTAGCTAGAGTACAGCAGCATTAAAAAATAGTTCGTTCTATTAACACCTAAACCTGTGAGATGTCATAATTGGGGATTTATTCTGATGTAGGCGGGTGAATTACTCATTCCCGTTAAAAGCAACAGTAACTCCCGTCCTGGCTTCCCCTCGGTCGCTTGAGTTGACTGATGTCGCGTCCACTATCATCAATTCGAAGTCAACTTTTGAAAACTGTAGGACTGCCATGCTTATTATACTTATTATTTTAGCTTCTGAAGGCCTACTGAAATCTCTGAATCATGTGAACTTTAAAGGTCAGAAAAGGGAGTAAAACCTCGCTACTATTGTCTTTTCCAAGTTTCATACATCAAACTGTCGGCATCTACAAAAAGCTCCTAAAACCAAAGCGTCTAATAATTGAAAAGTATCTAAACTCCATACGTGGGTCGTTCTTCGACCCTTCTTTTAAAAAACACTGATCCGATGGTAATTTAAGGTAAACGCACTTTTCGGAACCATATGCCCCCCAGAACCGTGAACTTCTCCAGAATAAGAGAGAAAATAAGAGATGCCGTGATTGCAAAATGAAGTACGTATTCACGTTTAGTTGAGGGGTTTCTCTCAGCAAATTTACTAGAGCATAAAGACACGTAGTTGAATACCTGCTTGTAGACATCTCGCGTGGCAGTATGACGAAGTCACCTTTTGGTTTTTACTGCTGCACCTGTTGGTGTGCTTTAGTATAAATTTAATCTCTGTAATTCTGTGTCCTGAGTTGCACTTAAACAGCACACCACAATTCATGCTGGTATTAGTGGCATCAATAAAAGGTGGAATCTCTGAGATAAGTTGGCATCTAAAAACGATGATACGAAATTTGTAGAAACATTAAATTTAATGAGGCGCCTTGACATGATTTTGAATGTGCGTACCCGAAGATGTTCGTTCAATCGGACTATTAAATGTACGCTCATTTGCGTAATGTGCACGGCTAACCTGAAATGCCAAGCTGATTGTTCTGGGTTTCTTAAGAAGTAATATTTATATTGACTTTTTATCCATAATGTGGCGTTTTTACATGAATCAGTCAAGGTATCCGTACCCGAAGATGAGATCCCTGCGGAAGCTGGCTTTATCTCCCATAGTCTCGGCGAAAAAAGCTCTAATGTCTGCTGTAGTTGACACAGCGGCGATTCACTTTGTTGGTTTTAAACTAAAAGTCCAGGAAGCATGTACACTGCCCTTTTTATATAGTCCGACGATGTAGCTAACTGCACACAGAGCCACATTTACGTTGATGCAGGATGACGTTTGCACAAAACCAGTGCATAATCGTGTAATTCTTCTAAACTCTCGGTTCAGATTAATGAGCCAGAAACCGTCATGTCTCGCCTATTTGTCCTCAGAAACCATGTCGCCGACTGTGTTTTCATCTTTTCGGCAATTAACGCTTCACGGAGCATTAAATCCCGTTTTTGGAATACAGGTGTGTATCGCTTCCACTTTGCAAACCACTTTGATTGCGAAAATATTTTCCACAGAATATTTGAGTAAATTCGTATTACCTAGTCTTACTTCCATTTGCCTATATAATAAGGTTGGAAAAAACTGGACACACTCAGTTTCCTGACTGTGCAGGCCTGTGAGATCTCATAGAATTATGCTTTTGGCTGTTTCGAGTAGGTTTCCCTTTGCTCTCCACCGCGGATCACATGCGGTACGTCTTACTCAACCTTCTGGATTTTTGAGACAACATCGCCTTGACTACCAGTAGATAGAAGACGCTGTTGCTCCTTATCAGGAGCCTGACCTTTCTCACAGACGAAACAAAACAACTGACTATACACATTTACTTTTAACTTTCAACGGAATATTTTCTACCAATTTACGAAATAAATCTTATTGAAGAGGGCAGTTATGATACAGGAAGGCAGTTTTTCATCTGTCTTACAGGTATTGTCATGTTTGTGTCATTTAAAGTCGTGTCGAAATTTTTAACAATCTCAAGATGCCCACTACGGTATGTCAAATGTTACTCCCCTCAATCGTCATTTTCAAAAAGCTGAGCTCTGGATATTTGCGGATATCTGGATAATAAATCGCTCGGCTGAAAATGTCCCGAATGACTTTGTAAATGTATGTACTCTGTTTACCTACTTTCTTCATCCGATTTTTTAAACGACCACTTCATAACCAGAAACTAAATCCGTTTTATTAAAAAACAGAATAACTCTAAAATTGACGGTGAAATGTTTTACGAATTTTGACCTAGTTTAAAAACGTCAGTGTCAATAATTATAAAATACCCTGCAGGAACTCCAAGCATTTTACACGCAAGCTATAATATCCAGAAAATAATTACACTTTTACTTAGCAAAACACAGGCGGACTTCGATGTCCACAACCTTTTGTGTTAGTGGCAATGGAACTCTTGTGTCTAGG